TTCTCTTCTCTTCTCTTCTCTTCTCTTCTCTTCTCTTCTCTTCTCTTCTCTTCTCTTCTCTTCTCTTCTCTTCTCTTCTCTTCTCTTCTCTTTATAAGCCTTTGTGAACTTTTTTGTCTGTTTTGAAATTTGTAGTTAAGTATTGTTACTACTTTCACTGTAATATGGCTTGAGGTAATGGTGGCATTAAGATAACAGCCTGGTATCAGAGTTGTCAGTCCAGAAAGGTTTAGCATTCTTGAAGTGGGGATTGAGAAACTCTCCTGGGTATCCRCATCACACCAAAGTTGCGGCCACACAAGCTGTGCTGGCATCCAGCGAAAGGGAGTGTTGCCCTTCAGTGACCACCATATCCTGGGGAGCCATGTGACAGGCAGCAAAATTTGGGAAGACATCTGAGCCACAGGATCTTTGAGAGGGAATGTGACATTCCCMGTGAGTAATGCACAGATACTGGCTTGTGATTTCAGTAGCACTGGTGGTATTTCACTGCTGTACTCCAGGCTTCACYTTCACAATAGTGTTGGGTGGAAAGGGGATTGTTGCATGATAAAAAATAATAAAATGAGGAAAATACCTTTTTCAGTYTTAAAGTATGCCCTAGAAATGAAAGAATCCTGTCACCTGACCTACTTGTGTGGAGAGGTTTGTGTTCTGGGTGCACTCACCTAGCAGGAAGTTTGGAGGAATTCCAGTGAAAYGGGGAATGTTGTGCAACATGCATGGCTACACTTCCCCACCACTTAGAAGATTCTAGTGTTTAAGCCATAGATCTGGAGCAATTCCAGGCAATTTGATTTAAARTAAACATCCTGGATGCAGTGTGTCAGATACTAGCACAATATTGTTTAAGTCTTTCTYATTTCTCCCATGGGAATAATCATTCCATGAAGAAGGAAAGTGATCTAATGAGAGAATTAACTCAAGAGCTTGAACATTGAATTAGTCACAGCTGTCTGAGAGGGTAACCAAGGCGAACTCCACAGAGACATCACTGATTTCCAAGGAASRAGGCCAAAAGAATACTGGGACTCRTATAGCAGTTGGTGATCAAAACAGAGGCAGGAGAGATATGCTTTTAGTAGCTAAAGGAAAAGCTTCCCTTTAGCAGCAGAGAGACTTTCCTCCTTATTTCTCTGTGAAGATAAATTTCAGTAGTAGGGAATCGCTGCAACTTTGTCTTGGAGATGTTGAAAGCTGCCAGATTGTTGAGGTCTGATCCTAACTGTGTCCTCACACTTATTTGAAACAGACGATTGATTTAATATCTTGGGTCTTTTTTCACTGTAGTCTAGAGYTGACCTGCAGCTTCACACTGACTTAGATCTGCTCTCTGAGGTGGCTGTATCAAAGGTGCAGATCTTTTTTTGCCAAAAGGAAAAATGAGTTGTGCTTGAGAATTACCAGTCTTCAGGCAYTGGGGAATTCAGTCTTGCCATTAGTAAAGTTTGGAAATGTTTCAAWTTGTAATCCAAACCCTAATGCTTTTTGGACTCTTTACTTAACTCTTCTCAGTGTTTCCTTGGATAATAAAATAGAGCAAACACACAACAGACATGAGCTGTCTGGAGCATGTGGCATTTTAAAAAATAGTTCCAAGCTATGCAAACCTTTGGAACAGAAAGAAAGAAAGGAAAATAACCTGAAAATGCGTATAAACTCAGCTAATTCTATATATTTTAAATTATATAGTCATTAGATATATACAAGGAGCATGCTTCTTCTCCTAGAACATATTGCACTTGTGTTGACAGAGCTTGTGAGCTGATTTCATTGAGAAGATGGATAGAGTTAAACTCTGCCTGATACCCACCACATTCCACAGCCTGTGTGATGCAGTGGGGTCATTCCAGAAGCAGCGCCTCACTGGAATGTGAGATACGTCACCAAGTCTGGGTAACTGTTAGTAGGATGTCTATAGGTCCTGCATCTGCTGCTTGGTGAGTCAGGGCTTCCAGGGCTCTGTGTACACTGAAACCTTAAAATATTAAAAGTTCTTCCACAGTGTAACATTTCAACTGTGAATGGCATAGGTTGCTACTAAGCATCCCAACTCCTCAGCTGCTCTGCTGTTGCTTTGTCATCTATTTCGTGGATGACTTTTTCCAATGATTTGCCTTTCCTGAGTGCAAGCATTTTTCATCTGCTTTCTTAGAATTTCACCTTTGGAGGCTTGGTCTAGTACTTCAGATAGAAAGATCATTTTATTCTAATCTTGTCCTTCAAAGTGCCTGCAAAATCTCTACTTCATTGTTTAGGAAAGCATAAGGGTTGACTAGATCAGGACAGACCCTTTGAGATTACTAACATACGATCTGAGTTCAATGACATTATACTTAWGGTAATATTTTAATATATTTTTAAACAAGTACAGTGAGTTGCATTTTGGTTTTCTCCAATTGCTTGTCAGAATATAGCATCAAATGTTATAAAAAAACTTAAAAAGCCAGATCTAATCTGCAGTTTTCCCTTTCTCTTCAGGCTGGCTCTCTCTCAACAAGCAAATTAGCCTGTTTCACATTATTTGTCTTATATAGTGCAACAATTATTATTTGTGTAATTTCATTATCCTTCAAGGCTCATGGAAATGCATTGTTAAATAATTTGTTTTGGTTTTTGGATGCTCAGGCTTTTTGCACTATTTTATTTCATAAAAGCCTGGAGGATCAGACTCAATGATCTTAAAGGTATTTTCAAACCTTAACAATTCTATGATTCTATAATTTTTGCATAATAACTTTTGCATAATAATTTAACATAATAGCTTCTTTTTGAGGATCATCTTACAAAATGCAGCTCCATTTGGAATGTGAAAAAAGTCTGAAAGAGAACTTGTCTGTGCTGGTCCTGGTTCTGCMATACTTGCAGTGATCAGATAAGTATTTTTTTGAATCCCTCCCACTGATGAAGTGTTTTCTCACTACTCATTTTCCTCTCAGGTATATTTTGAAGATTAATGAATATTTATAAAATGTTTTGAGTGAAACCTGTACATGAAAAATGCAATAGAAGTTGAAAATGTCATATTACTGATGTTTACTATATTTTAAAAAGGAAGACTATATGGCAGTCAATATCCATGGGGAATAATGAACTACAAAAATAGGGTGAGGACTCTGATGAATGTACCACAAAAAATTGTGGCCTGAGGAAGGAAGTCTTGCAATGGCACAAGGAACAGTGGGCAGGTTTTGTTAATAATGCTTAGTATTGAAATATATGCTGGATGAAGCATTAGTATTACAGAAGTATGATAGAATTCTTTTCAGTCTGCTAGTAATTAAGGATGAGGTTCATCATCATCAGTAACATTCATAATTTTAAAGCAGTAGACTAAGGTACATACACTAAAAAACTCTTAACAGAACTGTCATGAGAGATCTGATTTGTAAGAAATCCTGGCATGTCAGTGAAATTTCAGAAGACTCACAGTATTCTGCCAATGTTTAAGGAAAGAAAACTAAACAAACAGAACAATCAGGATGACCCAGCTTAGCTGGGTAACATGACACCAGGCCCAAGTAGCAGAGTACAAAAGCTGATTTTTAGCCAGCTTGTTAATAAGTCAATAATTGGCATTAATTTTTACTTTTATCAATGCTCTCTTGTTGATAAGTCGAGTTTAATTTATTGATAAGGRTTTTAAATCTGTTTCCTCAGATTGGTGTAGGAACATATTTCCCAACCTATTTCACAAAGCATTTGACTACCATTGTGACATTTTAATAAAGATCTTAGTCAAGCCTAATGTCACTCAATACAGAGGCATTTCAGTGGGCTGGGGCAGCGTGGCTCCAGAGGCAGGAYGTGTGCTTTTGGGCTATGATGCATAGAGGCACTTACCTAATCAGAGCAGCATTAACTGGGGATGTCTACAGGCACCAGTAACTTGGATCTTTCTTTTCCCTGGTTACCTTCACAGTGTACTGCTGTAGTCTGTTTTATAGCCATTTGTGTTATTTTTCATTTTGCTTTACTTGAACTATCCTAGCTTTTCTGTAAATTGAAATACCTACTGATAGCATTTCTGAGTGTCACAAAGGTTCTTTAAGGTGTAAATGACTGGGTATACAAAGCAACTAGATAGAGCAAACCAGTGGCTTAAAAGCTTGGTATATTCATGTCAAGGTTTCGTAATACAAGAAAGTGCAAAGCAATAGGCCTGAGAGCCAAGATCMCTGTTCACACTTCTGGGACCAGGGAGCTGTAGAGTAGAAAACTGTCCATAGGGACAGCTGAGAAGTTCTTGAAGTTTTGTCCTAGGAAAGAAACGACCTAGAGGAAATATGGTAGCTCTGCAAAATTATTTGGGTCACAAAACAGTTAAATGGTTTACTTAGGGTGCAYCATGAGTCAGTGGGAAAGTGATAAATAGGAGCAAAATGGTCTTTCTTGGTCCTTTATCTTGCTGTAGGACCCAATGCTCTTCAAAAGCATGCAATAATCAGTCTTATGGGTCATCCTGAAATGAAGCATGGAGGAGTTTGTTTGTTGAGAGTGGTTTCAAGAGTAATTTAGTCAGAGCAAAGAGAATAAAGTGGAATGAGAAAAAAAAGAGCAGACACAGGCAGAAACAATTGTGCTATACTTAACAAACACATGAAGAAAATGTTTGTCCATGGTGATACAGAAAAAGTTGGTGTTATGGCAGTGAGAGGGATTCTTGAATTTTGAGCATAACAAAATAAAATGCAGGAAAATTTCTGCTCTAATTCAGGTGCAATAAAGAAGGACAGGAAAGAAGAGAGTGAAAGAGGAGAAAAGGACTGTCAGAGCTTTACAGAACATGAAATTCTTGTTCTTTCTTTTTCTAACAGTAGAACYGACAAATTGAATTAGCACAAAATACAGATGTGGCAAAGTATAATTCTAAAAACAATTCAGTGCTGGTAGGAACTAGTCCATTGTTAAATGTTCTGAGAAGCCGGTTGGAAGCAGAGCATGACCTAATGGGTTTAGCATTACTATTGCAGCTGTGTGAAACCATCCCAATAAATAAACAGCCCAGTGAAGAAAGTGTGTTAGATTTTTAAGATTCTCCCGGTTTAACAGGGTGTGCCAAGTCATTGTTTTAACTGTGGACCAGATGCTGAAATGCTGTAAGGCAATCAGATCCTCTGGAAGCACCAAGATGATGCTGATTTTCACAATTTGGTAATGTGACCCCCAAATGCATCCCTTCTCTTGGTTTCTGTGGTGATGGCACTGCAAATGGCTGCACAGAATGGCACAGACCTGTCCACTCTACAGTGAGTCAGAGGAAGTATGGATGCATAACTGAAAACAGGACTTCATACATCATTTACCTGACAAATCCTTCTGGGACTGGTGCAGATTTTGTTTTTAGTTTGACTGTAACAGTGATGCTGGAAAGCAGAATTACTGATGGGACAAACCTGACTGGGGCTGTCTCTGACACTTTGGTTTGCTGGAGACCATTATGTTTGGAATAATTCAGTGGGAATAATTGCACTCAAAATTATGCTTTAAATTGATACTGTAGGAGACTTTTCTACTGCTCTTGCTTAAGGTGAAAGCCCTGTGCAACAGACCGTGCATGCTGTATACTGACAATATTTGGATCCAGAGATTTATGTGGTACACTATAAAGCCCTGTTTTTAAGATACAAAATAAATATATTTTCAGTGGTCAGTAGCCAGGCTCGCTGACCTATTTCTGCCTGAAAATTTCTTCTTTATCTGAGTGGAGCCAGGCACACAGGAACTCGTGACAGGAGTGCTGTGCCTGTGCTAATGRAGTGTTTGGGTTGAAGATCTGGTGCATTACTGGCAGGCGTGACCTTCCAGGGGACTCCAGTTCTCTGTTCCACCTTAAGTCAGCAGAGGCTGCCTGTGCCTCTTCTCTTTGAAAGTCAACCCCTAGTTGTTTCCTTCAGGCTTGTGGCTGCTCAGTTCAAGTCACAAGTTTACACCTGTGCTAACCTGTCTGGAGCTTTGTGATGCAGATGCAAAAACATCAGAGGAAGATTAATACAACCATTGATTTATTACATTCTAGAAAGCAAGGGATAAAGCAGACTGGCATGATGCCCCGAGCCCAGCCTCCACGRCGATWTCTCTTGTCCTGACATACATCCACTAGCATTTATCTTGTCTGTTCACCTTCCTCTCCCTTTAGTTTCTCAAACTTCAGGAGTTTCTTTTGGCAGGCATGCTCCTCACTGCTGCTGCTGCTGCTGCTAGAGCTTTCCTCTGAGCTTCCGGAGAGGAGATACTTGATTGCAATCGTGTCCTTCTTGTTCATTTGCAAGCAGAGGCAGGAGGATTTGCTCACCTTAAATGACTCTCCCCACATACTCTGGCACATGTCAGTCCCATTCGCGTACATCTGTGTGTAAAATAAGAAATGCCTCAATTACATTTAAAAAGAATTGAATTAARACTAGTTTGCATCAAATTGATAAACATTTATCACTTTTAAAAAATTGGTTATAAAAATGTTGTCTGTGGTCATTTGCTGTCTTGCTGTGTGTTATGCTTCATCTCTTCTGAGATATGCTAAAATGTTACCCAGTCCCACAACTGGCAAAAAGGATTTGCCTATGGCGAGAGCAAGTGGTTACACAAAGTGCAGGAATCAACAGCCACCCATTGTTTCCACCCTCGGGTTGACAGCCCAGCCCAATCTCTCTGGGCTGACACTCCAAAGCTGTGAGAGAGAGCCTGTACAACTTGTAGCATGTCAGGACACTCTGACATGCCTCGAAATCTGAGWAGTGCTGAAAGTGCCAGGCAGTGCTTTGAATATGGGAATCTTTTTATTTACAGGCCAGAGGCAGCCCAGCGGAGTCACAGCTCTGAGTGATCTCATTGTGCCTGCTGCAATGTACTTTCTGGCTGGGGAGGACCTCACAGGGAAAGAGAAGAAACATAATTTAACAACGGCTTGAGGACAGTAAGTTTCTGTCAAGCTTCCAAAGTGCTTTTTCCAGTGGGGCAATGACCTTTCTGGCTCAAGAAACTGCGAATTGCAGCTTCTTGCACTCTTGTCAAGTGAATCTGTCCTGTTCTTGGTGCTGCAGCGTTTTGTAAATCCTGTGTCATAAAACCTGTCAACCACACAACAAAAGTACTGCTTGTTTGCTGAGGTCACATGGTGACAACCTTCTGCCTGCCCAGCTTGAGTTTGTRTAAAGAATATCAGCTTAAAAGTTATCATGTCCAGACCCAAAGCAGGCAGTAGGAACACTTTATCTGGCCTGCATTTCTCCCACAKGTTTGTGGTTGAAGCTCAATCTTTTGTGTTTCCCAAAAGTAAACTTTAGGTACTCCCAGAAGCAAAGCTAAGAAGGAGATTGGGAATGGGAGTGGTGGCACGAGTAGAAGCCTTGGAAATTAGGGAATAGGAGTGTTAGTAACTGAAACTGTGGGCCAGGCAGCACTCCTCTTGGCTCTGTTGTTGACTGATTCACCTTGACCATACAACCAGCATCTCTCTGATGTAAGCTGTGTTTTATCTGTAATAGTACAAGTAGTCCTTGCCTGTGATGCTGATTCCTACAGTGTTTGTCTTACTGTTGTAATTCCTGGATGCTCTGCTGGTTTACCAACATCACCAGTTCATACAAAGATCTGACACTGTGATTCTCAGAGCAGGTGCCCCGTCTTTATGTTGGGATAATTCTGCATGATAATTCTGAAGCACCATGTGTGCAAAAAAAAGAAGTATTACAGCTTTAAGTCTACTGTGCAGAAGTGAAATTGGGTATCTGTAGCCCTCCTTCTGCTCCGGTTATTTTTGAAAAGTTCTTACATGTCCCTGTGTCCCCATGTGCAAAACTATGTTCACTTTTGCCTTAAAAACTGTCCTTTATGAATAATACAGAGTCGATTCCAAATAACCCTAAAGGTTCTGTAGTCTGTAAAATAGCTTTTTAGYTCATACCACCTCTAGCCAAGGCTTGCACCATGGATGCTGCAGGTGCTAGAGAAGGAGTATAGAGGTTGGTTAGTGCCTGGGAGCAGGGTCAGAAAAGGAAAGCTCCCTCTATCTAGTTCCTTCTTTGTGTTCTCAGGGCAGGCAGATTTTAGCTCTTTTTTCCCCCTACTATTCCTGTGATTTTAAGTAGCATTTGATATTTTCTTCCAGCTCCTGTGCAGTTCCTGAATTTTCACCTGCTTTTATCTAATCATTCTGGAAAGTGTTAAAGTCTGTCATGTGGGTTCGTTTAGGTCTTTATGCTAGAGACATGACTACACCCTATATTTGTATCTCACAGGCTCTGTAACATGTTTTGACCTTCCTCCTAATTCTGCTTAGAGATCAGAGCATAATCAGAATGCTGCAGCAAACAAATGGAGCACACAGCCCATTTAAATACCCAACATGTCCCTAAATTACTGCAAAGGATTCTGACTCTTTAGCTTCTTGGAAAATGTCCTAGTCTGTGCATTAAAATTGCTTGGGGAACACCCAACTGGAAGAATAATGACAGGGCTAAAACTGGCCATGGTCAGTTGTGCATCCGTAATATTCAGCATTTGTTCTTTTTTCAGCATTTATCCCAAATGGGCTTTAGAACCACTTGCATATGTCMCATGTAGAGCTGCTGATTGCTCCTCTGTGTGAAAAAAATAAGGTTCTGTCTACAGTGCTCTGACATGTGAGAACCCTTCCATCAGTTGCATCCAAACCAAGGCAGTCTAGTGTTTGTATATCATGTAATTTTCTTATGGGAAATGTGTGTTCTTTTAATTTCTCTGCAGAAATTTCATCTTTATGCCTACTTACTATGCAAGCCTATTTTTGGTGAAAAACATGGGCAGTTTAGGGTGTGGTTCCATTTAGTTTAGGAATAGCTGCGCCTGGCTTCAAGTGATAAGACCTCAGAATTTGCTGCATGTTTTTCCCTGCAGATGGTATATTTTCTTTAAGAAATAAGTACAAGGGAACTCAAGGTTAAAAACTCCTATCTCTGAAACAGGGACAGTGTGAAGAGAGACTGGAGATTATTTATGGAGATTATAATTTTGTTTTTCACTTCATCTGGAACTACTGATGATTTAGCATATCTGGGAAACTAAGCTGTAAGTTTCCACAGCCCATTTGTTTTTGGCCACCTTCCTGAGCCTGCTGATTAGTGTCACTTTTGCAAGGCAGACAGCAATCCTGTACTAACTGGACTGTGTCTTCCACTTACATCAGTTGCTGAACTGACTTCTGGAAGTACATGCACTTAAATTGATTTCAAAATAGTGAATCTGCAACCCTTACTACCAGTCCTTAAGCATGTCACTTAAATTTTGTTTACTTCTGCAATTCGGGCARTTTTTCATGGACTCAGTGAAGTTCAACTGTTAAAAATATTCAAATATGCTTTTGAACTGTATTATATTGCTCTGGTGCTAAACTTACTTGAGTTGCTAGAAAAATCCTACATGACCCTGGAAAGGTCTGTAGATCAGGTTCCAGGCAACCTTGCTCCTGTAAGCCTTGTCAGATCTCATTTTACACACTTTAACTCATAAAATTAATTATCCCAGCCATTAAATATTCTCAGAAAGATGGGATGGAGGAGGAAAGGTAAAATAGARAAAAGGGCAAAGATACCTAATAGGCAAGAAAACTTTAAAAGTTCCTTAGTGGTTTGGGAATTTACATTCCAATTTAAAAAGACAGAGGTGTGGAGAGCCCTATATTGTGTAAGGAACCTTATGAAACACATCTTAGTGTCTCTGTATGAATACAGTTAATTTATCTTTTATTTTCTAAATCCCACTGTGGTTAAAACATCAGTGCTTCTTGAACTTCTTTTTCACAAGTGGAATGATCAATTAAATGTATATCTACCTAGACTAAGTGCTGTATATCAAAATGAGTGTTTGAAGATTTGTATACTTAAGGAGTCTGATGTAGGAATGGCTTGAAACTGTTGAAGTAAAAATAATTCACTGATGGCATTTGACTCCCMTATATTCAGGGGAAAAAAAGAACTCCTAATGCCATATTTTCTGTTTCAGTTGATCATGTTTTCTTACCTCACTGTATGGAACACATTTATTCTTACAGTGGTTTTCTCCACTTTCATCCCATTCCCAGTCCGTCAGCCAGTTACGAACACATATGGAATCATCTTTGCAGGCTTCATACCTTCATAGAGATTAGTGTGAAAGATACAATTACTTCTCTCACATTTTTCAGTGGACTCAGATTCAACTCAAAGAGGTGTCCAGAGACTCTGTTATTAACGTGGTGTGATTACAGTGMAGCTTAGCAACAGATCTTCAAGAAATGTGCACATTATCTTAGCTTGACATGATCATAAACTCTGAGCTGGCAAGGAAGACCTAAATTCCCATGAAAACGAAACAGTTCACTCACTACTTTTATCCTCACAGACTTAAGGAAAGGGCTCGTGCTGTCAGTGTTTTCTGCTTGGTTATCTGATGTTACTGATTGGAGGAAATCCTGGGAGGGAGGGAGTTTCATGAATGTTGCTGTTCAATAACATGACAGAGCACAGGTATGCTAAGGGTGAACTGTCACCTGAAGGAGATGTGGGGAAAGCTTGTATTTATGAATTAATATGGGAGAAGAAGAATGATGGTTCCCAGGCAGGGGAGTTGCTATGAGGCATGTGCACTGCCATAAGGAAATTCCACAAACAACAAAATCATATAAACTAATAGGCTATCAGCCTCAGAAAGMCATTTGCAAAGAAGTTAAAAGGAAAATATAAGAGTTCTGTAGGGCATAGGTCTAAAATTTTAAATTTTAAGTTACTTTTAACTTGTAAGTGGTAATGTACAAAAACCCCTATAAATGGCCTGGAATGAGTAGAGAAGTGGTGAGAGGTCTCATGACTTACCATTATCCTACATAATTTCCTCCCTTCCACTTCTCTTTTATGTTGTACTTTTTGGCTCTTACCTTTCTTAAGGACCACTTTCTGCAAATCAGTTAACATCTACTTAAATTTAGTCTTGTTGGCTTCTGGAGGACTATTCACACACTTAGAATGCCAAAACAATGAGGCACAGCTTCCAGAAAGTTAATGTTTTTCAGCATGGTATTTGTAATTATTGCCTTTAGATAGATTTTCTGTTTGTCATTTTTAATATTCAGGGTTATGTTTCAGAACAATTTTGATATCATGAGGGCTGCATTTTACACTTTAAAATTAAATGTGTGCGATGTCAAATGGTCACAGGACTACAAGAATTGGACACTGCAGTAGATGTGCAAATGCAGGAAGGTCAGAAGATGSATGTCTGCAGAACCTTCATGCTGATTTTCTGGGCTTTTTGGAGRAGAAAGAGCAATAACAGATGGAAGGTAACCAGGGCCTGAACTAAACAGCTCAGGGTCAGGAGACATGTAGTCTCAATGGGTTCATCCCTAAATCTGCTGTCAGAGGTAGGRGCTCTGCTGGAAATAGARGCTAAAATTAGATAAGTTAATATTCATGGTATGCATCTGKTTTCCTCAGAATCTGAAYAAAATATATTTATTAAAGTGTTTATRKTTTTATACACCATTATTTATTGACTTGTCAGATGAAATGTTTCCTAATCATGATTATTAYCTGACTGTGGTTTGTTCTATAAGCAAGTGGCAAGGCATAACACTATTGCTGGAGTTTTTCTTTATCCCAGTGGAARTAATTATGAAGTCAAGTTTATGAAAAGTCATGATTTGTGAAAGGTCTAATTTCTGCTATCCAGAAACCCGTAAGTTGGTTATTCAAGAAGTAATTAAAATCTATGAGAAACATAAATGCTTAAAAGATCCTGAACATATTAGCTCCCTATGTACAATGAGCAGGATATTTTTATTTTAAAGCTTTCTTCCCTGTAATTTTTTAAATTATCTCTTTCTCTTTTATAGGGCACAGGGCCCTTTCACAGGTGAAAGAGAAAATCGGGCTCTTTCAAAAGCAGTAGTTTAAGGACTAGTGAAAGCAAGGAATCCTAAAACAATAAGAAGAAAAGGAAGGCCCCAAGCTAGTCAGATGAATTTCTTTTAAATTAAGTCACTGCTCATTCAGAATACTCTGCACATTTCTGGCCACAAAGACATACAGTATGCAGTAGCCACACTCACGGTATGTAGAGAAAGTAGGTCACATCACCAGCAGTGCTACAGCATGCTAAAGGGACTCCAGTGAATAGAACATGAAAAAATGTTACTTTAAATCACCAGAAAGAGTAGGAATTCTGTCCAGGCTCTTTTCTAGCCTCAGGCCTTAAGCAGGGTGAGGGAATGGGTTTGACATTGGCATTAGGCAGGCACACAAATCAGCGTGCAGGGTAATGGGCCGTCAGTACATTTTTGATTCAGGCCAGGCATCTGTGACGGCAAAAGGGGCAATAGATCATTGTTCAGCACTTGTTTAGAGCAGATCCTGCTCTCTGCCAGGAGACTCTATACTGGAACAGGGTCAGTTTTTCCTGTGCAGCAGCTCTCAATCACCCCACCATACTTTCCAGCAACAAAAGTTAAAAGTGCCGGTTACCCGCAGATTCTGGCAATGCCCAGGGAACACGGAGGATTTTGCAAAGTAACACTGACSCATGATCTACACTTTGGTATAAATCTCATATACACTAAAGATGTCTAAAACAGTTCATAGATGCAAACTAACTTGCAGCACACATTTTTATTAATCTTTACAATTTYACTTGATATAACAGTTTGGTAAAGATTTTCATGCTACCTGTTTTGGGACACATTTGTTTTAAAYAATTGTATTTTATCATTTTTCCCATTAGATCTACTCTAAAGCTCACTGACAGCTCCAGTGCTATAATATCCAAATGCAAAATTTGGTTCTGAGCTTTAAGATTCAGAGTACTGAGGGMAATTCAAGGTCTCCGTCTTTATCTTCAAGGAGGTCAGTAATCTGAATTGAGTTTAGAAGATTACAAAAACTTAGCAAGGAAGACTGCACATGACAARTCTGTTCCTGAGGCACATGAAGTTTCCTGACACAGAAATAAAATTCATTGCTAGAGAAAGCTGTAGGAAAGCTAAGAAATACAGTCCTTCTCACTGTCTTCCATTACAAATCCAAGAAGCTTTGCTTCTTGTTTCTTTCACTGGCACAAAGCAGTGGAGACATATTTAAAGACAAATCCTCCCAAAATTCTGCACTACATGCATGACCTTGCCCTTGGAGGCAATGGAAAAGGATCCACATGTCAATAATATTCAAGTTGTGTAAGCACTAGGGAAGCACGGCAGAGAGCAGCCCAAGAGAACCCTAATATGCTCTGTGTTTTGTATTTTCTGTACTTTTAAGGAAAGCTCTTTTATAACATTTTTAGAAGTATCATAATGGTTTTTCATGATTTTCAGAGCAGCCTAAGGGATTCAGACATTGACAGTCCATGATTTTCATGGAAAGCTAGCAGTTATAATCCTGTAGTGTGAACAGAGCCTTTGGTGTTTGTGCTATGCTTCAACACACATCCAGACAAGTTACTCCAGTGACTGGGCACAACATTCATAAGGTGCTGCTGAGTTTATATGTCCCGTGGTGATGTTATTTAAGGTCCAACAGCTCAAATCAGGGAGGGAAGGAGAGAGAAAGGGAGGGAGAGATAAATGCTGGATAAGTACCAATGGAAAAATCTCAGTACCCTAAATGGATATAACACTCCTACCCCARGACTAAGGACAGATGGATGCTGGGTTGTCCCACCATGTGCCTTGTACTCAAAAAATAATGTGATTCCCTGATGTTGTGTTTTGGAAAACAAGCTATTATGCTGCTCATTGCTACTAATAATTTTAGCATTACTTGGCTGCTAATTGTCTCAGATATTCAGGCTTTCAGAAGAGATTTTAGAGAGTATGATGATAGAAGGGAGAAGGTCAATGGTGAAAAATTAGGGAATGAAGCTGATTTGTTACATTAATTAGTTGAAATCCCACACAAAGTGACAGCTTTCTTGATTTTGTAGTGCATTTTATACATACAAAACAAATGTGTCATATCATGATCAAGTATTCAGATGGAAAATGCTAATTGCATAAATGCTGCCTCACAGWCAGGGACTTTTCAAACAGTGGGCAGGCCCTTGTTGCTGCCAGTGCCTGTCAGTGTGGCAGGAGCTCCCCTGTCACRATGCCACTGCACTGCATTCTCCCCCAGAGCAGGGCAGTGCTGTCCCTGAGTCACTAAACTCATTTTAGCATCTCCATCCTGCATTCACAACCTGTGCTGTTATTATTTGGGGGGCAGTAGCTTAGCAGAAGGAAAAGTAGAGACGGCTAGCAAGAAATTCAGAAGCACAAGAGAAAAGGTAGTACAACACTGAATCACAGGCACATTAAAACTATGTAAAAATACTTGGATTAAAAAGCTGAACCTACCAGTCATCACAAAAGCTTTGACACAATGGAACAGCCTGAATAGCAGCAGTGTCGTTGGGATGGATCCAGCGAGCAGCATGTGGAGAACACCGGTAAAAGCACTCRATTTTCTTTGTGAAATCTTCACAGCTGTTGTAGATGAGAAAAGCCAAAAATAAGCCTGTTTCTGAGCATCAAGGCTACAGCCTCATTTTCTCGGCCTGCTTTGATGTGGATGCAATACTACAGATTAGGAGAAAAAGACAGAGAAGCATCCTTTGGCCCTGCTAATGCCTAAGTTTAAAAGTCATTCCTCTGGCATTGTGTACAGACTCTGACTGTGCAATTACCACAGCCAGCTACAGCACAAATGTTTCCATGCATATTTCAGCCCTATTTGTGTAAGCTTTCCATAAACTTTTGAGGCCTTGAGTTTTCCTGGCAGCAGCAATTCCAGGCAATAATAAAATGTAGTTTAAAACTATAGTACAAAACTTTGTCTGTGCTGTAGCCTCACTGTTTCACTAACTTTTAGATTTTTCCCACAGCCCAGCTGAAGTTACTTAAAATTGCACACTGTGCTGCTCTCCTGGGAGTGGCAGGCAAGAGCTGTTACTTTTTAACATCTGTTTTTGCTTAATTGTTTTGTACTTTCATCCCTTTATTTCTGTAACTTGCCGTGTTTCACAGCTTTAACATCTAAGGGGGTACTAAAAATCTTAATTAAGGAGACATTCTTCATGGTTACAAAGCCCACAGGACTACAAGAATTTTTATTCTGAATTTCCAGACGTTTCATTTCTGGACTTTTTTTTTTTTTTTTTTCCTATGAGATTTAATAATCTAGCTGATGCGCTTTCTAAACAAAGGAAGAAGCCTGGTCTCTGGTACAGATCACACTCTCTGGTTAATGCTGGAGAGCTACAGAGGTGTGGTGTGGTTGTCACCTGTTGGGTTTATGACTGGTTTGCATTGTCAAATCTGGTTCTATACTGAAAGCAAACTTGAAAAAACATAACCCTGTCTTGATGTAATGGCATAAATAGTATAGACTTAGAGATTTGTGGGTTTGTGTGAGAGGAGTGGGAGAGTCTGAGGTTGGTCGGGTATGAGAAAATGTGATGGGAACTAGGCTGGGTGATATAATCTCTAGGGCCACCTAATGTCCATCAGCAGCTGGTGGCTGCCTCAGCCCAGATCTGTGGAACCAGGACACAGAAAACATCAAAGCTGACTTACGATTTACTGAGCTGCCCACATCTGTTCCAGTAGCTGTTGCTTACTTTAATTACCGGGGAATGAGCCAATTGCTCTGTGAAGTCTGCATAGCAACAGGAAGCTGTTGGGAATAAAACACAGATTTTGCAATAAGTATTTCTTTTTAACACTGTATTTGGGAGACACAAAATATAAGATRAATCTGGTTTGGACCATAGCATGATAAAGTCTCTTGGTGATAACTAGAAGATATACTCAAGCTCTAACATTTTTGGTTATGAAAGTGTAAATGCTAAGTGTGGTGGACTGGCATAAATAGTGCTTTGTCAAGTTGTGCCCAGAGAGTCCTAAGAATTTTACAAATGTTCTGCCCAGTGGCACATCCTGAGGGATACTAACTCTCAAAACTACCAAACATTAAAAAAAAAAGTGTTGAAGAATTGGAATAAGTACTGTACTTTGCTTGCAATAGAATTTTGATATAGACTTTTCCCTTTTGGTGTCTGCTACAATACATTTTTATACTTAATTACAATGTGGTAAACATTTTTAAGCAGATGGAGCTACAAGAAAAGCAAACTGCATCAGAATTTTGAAAAGAAAATAATTTAAGTCAATGAGAGTTTTGCAGCTGACTTTGTTAAGACCCTGAATTTTACTCTCAGTTTGCATGCAGCAAAATGCCAATGAAGGAAGCTTTTCAAACACAATCTATAYTGCATTTTATATATTTTTGAGAAATTAGAGAAACTGCTAAAACAATGTGTACATGTGTGCAATGCTGTACTTCTTGACCATATTTTGAAAAAATTAAATCACTCTTACCTTTAGAGTACWGAGTGCACTCTTGCATATTTGGCTCAGGACTTGGCTTCAGTTTTTGGGTGTCCCCTTCGAGACATCCATATTTTTGGCAGGTGGATGATGTTATGACAGCAAGGAGGGTGATAGCAAACCTCAGCATTGTTCTTCAGCTCTTTTTCCTGCACGGAGAGAAATCTTTGTTTACATCCTTTATTTCTCGGAGAGCCCATAACATTAAAAGGAAGGACAGCATTTAAAATACCACATAAACAATAATAAAAAAATAAGCTCAGCAAAGATGCACACAGAAATATTGACACATTTTCCCTTCCTCTTTGCTTATAACTGAACACTTACCCTTCTGTTACATTATTTCTGAAGTTTGGTGGCAAGTGATAAAAGTCATAAACAATTCAGGCTAMGTTTGTTATAATTTTCAGTATTTAAGAAAAGTATTTAAGATTTCTTACACTGAGCTGAATTATTTTTTAATCCTTCCAAGAGACATTTGTATGTTTCACTAGATTTGAAGAAAATATTGTTTAGTTCTAAAACCTGAAGAGTTTTTTTGCACACTTGGAAATTACACATTAAATGCAGCTGCAAGTGAAATAGTGGTGGCCACCACCTGAACTGGATAAATGACTTTGAATACTTGCCTTTGTTGAAACTATGTTAATTTATATTTAAGAATCTGAGCTGTTATTTTCTTCCTCTTTTGTAGAGTTTGGTCAAAAAGGCAAGATAAAAACGTTTYGTCTTTATGATTAAAATTTCTCTAAACACAGGCTATATACTAGTCAGCTATAAAGATAAATCTAGAACTTGTTACATAAATCAATGCATTATTTTTTATACATGTTATTAAATTAATCCTTCATTCTTTAGTTAAATATTCCTGTTAATTTTTTGGAATAATTTTGCCTGAATAAGCACTGCAGCTCTTCTATGTACCTAGACTTTTCAGATATAAAGAACAACTTATCCAGAAGAAGAAAACTATCTCTTCGAATTCTCAGTAATTTCTCACCTCGTTTTCTTTCCTTCTGGATGATACTTCTCCCTGGAACAGGAACATAGTAAATTGCTTTTCCCATTTTCCAATTTATATACACACCATCTGGCATCAGTACTCCAGAATTTGTTTGCCCTGGAAGAGTTCCTTGACCCTTTGGAATGCTAACACAGATTTATCTCAAAAGCAGATGMAATGACCAGCACATAATGCCCTTTTATTGCTTGCAAACGTCGACATGATAAAGAGGAAAGTACAAACATGRGTTAGAATTAGAAAAACAATAGCTCTCCTATAGTTCAAATGCCATTAACCCCTCCTGCCTAATTTTTCAATGATTCCTTGTATTATTAATTATTAAATTAATTTCTGCAACAGTTTCATTGAGCTCTTACCATGAATTCAGGCTTCAGTGAATTCACGACATTAATTGCTTCTTATTTCAGCCTGACCGGCTTAATTCTGACTAATGGCTTTCCTTGTTACACAGTGATATTACTGCATTCCCTGGAAGAGAGTCCATGTCTCCTGATTCCCAGTACTTTGCWCTCTCTTTGCAAGATCCCTTCAAAACCTGCTGCTGTTCCCCCTGGTTGCTCCACCTGTCTCCTATGTACCTTACAACCAGTCTCACAAGCACTACAAGAAATGGTTGATTGTACCAACGATAGTGACTCCTGATGAGATTTCACTGGGAGAGCTGCTTTCTGCAAAGAGCATTTGTATCTAAACATAAACCATTGGTTAAGGTAGACATGGTGATGACAAATTGTTGCACTCATTTTCACAGCTTGTCTTGCTGTACCATGAAGAGCAGCACCCCTCAGTACCTCGCAATTATTTAGATACATAAGGAGAGCAGCATCTGTTGTTTTTGTGTTTTTAATAGATTGATTTGTCAGATAATATTCTGAGGCCATTGTCTACTAACCTTATTTTTGAAAAGGCAAACATTGGCACAGTAGAAGTGTGGGATGATTCTCAGTGAGCAAAGGCACGAGCATGATAATAGAACAATTTCTATAAGCTATAAGCACTGATTCCTATTCTAGCTCTAGTAAATGCCTCAAGGTGAAAGTCTTGCTGGCCTAAAAAAAGTCTTTTCCAGATGAGTGGAAACTGAGCAATTTTTACGTTCCAGAATGAATTTAATTAAGATGAGTTTAGAGAATGAATTTAATTAAGGCAAGTTTAAAAAGGCATGAAGTAACTATAGGAGAAAATGAAGTAAATCTAATGGCTTATTACCCATGCTTTCACCTCATGTGGCTTGATCTAGCATTGGCTGAAATTTGTAGAGCTCCTTGCTGTTTTGCAAAGTAAAGGATTCATGCGTGCTACTCGGCACTTGGATCTGTGTATGAGACAAAATAAAAACCAAAGAATAATAGGAACATTCACTTTCAACCCTGTGAGGAGTGGATGAGCTGACCAGCCTGGTGAAAAGCACAGAAATAGTCCATGCTCTGCTCCTCACTGCTCAGCTTGTGTGAAATACACGGACACTGGTGAGGTGTCAGCATGCCAGGAGGTTCTTGTAATGCCTCTGCTCACTGAATTGGCATACAAATTATATTAAGCTATAGGAAACTGGGATAGCTTTCAGGCATTGAGTATGAGCCAAATGGGACCACTTGCTGGGAGATTAGGCAGAGTTTCTAGCAGYGGGAAGGAAAATTGTCATATGTTTGTGATTTCCCAGACTTGGCTTTGGTTAGCAGTACATGTAAGCAGGCTCAGGCTAAGGAGCTTTTAGTGATCTCGGCTATACATCTTCATCTCCTGAGAAGGGAATCTCAATTCTTTTTTTCTAGAGGTATTTTYTGCCAATTGTTTGGTCTGATATCTTACATTGGGGAATTTGTGAAAGGAATTTTCTTACCTCTTGGATCATTTATCTTTGTTAAAATTTGACATATGTTCAAGCACTCASTGATACTCTTGTACTTTTAAGACTCCTACTACCATTTAATTTTAACTTAAACATCAGTACCCTGCAACCTCTATTCATCTTTCCASAAGCTAGAGTGAAAGCATGCATGATACTGAAGCGTTGCCATAGACAAAAAGTCAGGCACCACAACAATACATTRTTATAATCTGATCTAATTGATAGTGGCCAGCAGTGTTAGTAAAACCGTGCATCYATTCCAAAACCACAAACACTGCTATACTAGGTCTCAAGAGTCATCTACCTGAGCAATTTCATTCTGGCATGAGCCACTGGCAGAAAATTAGGGAAGAAATGTTTAAAAAATAGAGTTTTCTAACTTCCCARCTTCTGGCAATCAGTTTAGTAACTATGTGAACTGACATCTCCTAACTCAAGAGTGATTCCTGCTTTGTGAGTCAGATCTCTTTAATGACTGCAGCAAGCTTTCATGCTTTTATATTCTTGGTAAATCTGCAAAGCCGATGTGGTTAAGGGAAAAATTGTTTGTGCTTCCAACCAGTGACAATTGCCAGATCCATTTCCCTTCTTGGCACCCTGAAAGCGTAATAATAGTGTGACTGGAGGGAGACTGAGTTTCAGGAGTGTAAATTAGAGCATTTGGCCTGTTATAGCTTTATTAGAGATGGCAATGTGTGCTAATGAAATTAATCTGTTTGTTCCTCATGTCTCAGCAYGAGTCTGCATGCTCAGAGGTTGGAAGTGTTTTTCTTGTTAACTGTAACAAGAAATGTAATTAGGAGCACAGGTTGTTATCTAATTTACTGAAGCTCCTTTAAACGCAGAATTGCATTTAAAGCTGCAACAAGAGCATGTTATTTGATGATCAGTGAAGTATATAACCTGGATTGTCATTATGTCAGACTTTAGAACTAAGAATTTGTCTTCGCAAGTCCTGGTTGAATGTATCATGTCACAAGTCAAGCTGAATGCCAAGGGAGACACTCCAGATGGATTCAGTCTGGCACTTCCTATTCTGGAAAAAAAAGCTGAGGTCAAATTTGAATGCTACTGAATCTGAGGTGTGATTTGTTTCAGTTCACTTTGGTGTGGCTGGGATTTCTCCTATTTATTTTCTTGTTATAAGGAATACATCACAAAATGAAGTAAGGCTTACTTGCTTTATTTGAACACACAAATGTTGCTGAGCTAGTTCTCCAGCAGGGCACAGGAATGACAAAAGCACCAGTAATTTTGTATAATAAAGACAGTGAGTCAGTGGTGGGTAAAAAAGCAGATATTTTAATGAATGGTAGGTTTAAAAAGAAATCACAAGCCAAACCAACAAAATTATAATTGTAAAAATGTCATTTTAAGTCCCACGTTAGACATTTCAAAATTAAAGGGGACAAAAACCTACTTAYTTCAGCTTATTGCTGAGCTGAAAGCACCTCTTGAAAGCATAACAGAATGCTCTTCCTTTGTTCTAGTCTTTCATTTGCCTTTCACATGCTGCTGCTCTGTTACTGTGGGGTTCCTTGAACCACTAACAACTACTGTTAGTTTTTCTRCAAAGAAGGGGCTTTGGTTTGGGTAGCTCCTGGCTGGTGTGAAGGGTGCTCTTAYAAGTGACAAAGAAAATCTGTGTCCAGTTTGACCTATACTCCAGAAATATCCAGCTGCAATCTTGTTTTGAATCTAGACCATTAATATTTGATTGAATTTTCTACAATCACTTAAGAATAATGAATTTGCTCTTCGGGGAATATCAATAGTATTTTTTAAAAAAAAATTACACTTGTATTTTGGGTATTTATGATTTGAATAGAGATAATGCCTAGATGTCCCTGTATGAAGTTGTGATGCAGAATTTAGCAGTATTTGGTGCCAATACTGGATTGGGGATAGCCCTGTCCTACATCCCCCTTTTCTGCCTTGATCCTGTGCTGCCCCTTTGCCTCCACTCTCCCGGCACAACTCACCAGATGGGAAAACTGATCCAACAAAAAGAAATCTAGTGCTTCCTCCCTGCATCCAGTGTTTCTGGGTGAATCAGTTTCAGTTTATAGCATGGCTGAAGAAGAGTTTTGTTGCTGAAAAGGGTGGTATCACATTGAGAGAGACACACGTGAGGGTAGCACTGGCAGTACTTCCAGTCAGAGCTGCCAGCCTCTGAGCCCCACTGTGTTGACATTGTGTTGTTTTTTTTTAATTGTTATGTTGAACACCTTGTAATCAAAATGAAGAGCTGACAGGTCTATAGAGAAAA